TGCGGCAACTGAGACGGGCCGTCCCGGTGCGGTCTGTTGGAAGGGGGGCGTCGGCGGCGCAGCGGAGGTAGGAGGCGGCGGAGGAGGAGGCTGAGGAGGAGGAAGAGGAGGTGAAGGAGGAGGACGAGGAGGAGGAGGAGGAGGAGGAGTAGTAGGAGGAGGAGGAGGAGGAGGAGGAGGAGGAGTGGGAGGCATCAGACGTCGGGGCCCTCCTCCACGTCGCCGCCCGAGCCGAGCTCCTCGGGCTCCCCCTCGCGGCCGGATGCGGCGCAGGCTCCGGCCTCGCCATCAGCGGCGGCGTGCCTGGCGCCCACTCACTGCCTGCTGCAGTTCGGTCGCGCGCCGGGGCAGCCGGGTCGCGCGAGGCGGGGCGGCCGCGGCTGCAGCGGCGGCGGGCGGGCCGCCAGCGGGTCGTGGTCAATGTTTTTTTTTTTTTGCCATCGCTGCAGCTACCCTCATACACCACTGGGGGGCGGGCGACCCCACCCCAGGGGACAAAGATGAGTTGAACGGGCAACGGCGCCACAGAACAACTCCAAATCTGCAACCCCGAAGTGTGGGACAGCAGTCGACCTCATACTTGACGCAGTGGGCCGTCCTTGGGGGCGCGGTCGTGTGGCCGCCGGCGTCGGCCCAGGCGTCGAAGCAGGCCGTCGGCGCGAGCTCCGCCTCGCGGCACGAGGTCCAGCAGCGCCGCAAGTAGGGGCGCCAGCGCTGCGCGCCCACGACGGCGGCGGCCATCGTCTCGGCGCCCGGAGTTTCTGAAGGGGCCCTGGGACACACAAATAAATACGCACAGATAACATGACTCCCCATGTTTTCCCGTATTTGCTGGGTTTCTGTCTTCCCCCCCACTTCCCATGTTTTTCAATTTTTTCTTGGGAGTCGACGATTAATTGTGTCTGTGTGCTTTTTCCCCTCCTGAGTTTCCTGCTCGGTGGCGGCGGACTGCATCTGTGAAGGGGCCCCAGGACACACAAATAAATACACACAAATAAAAATATCCCCCATATTTTCCTATACTTTCTGGGTTTTTGTCTTCCCCCCCACTTCCCATATTTTTCCATTTTTTCTTGGGGATCGACGATTCATTGTGTCTGTGTGTTTTTTCCCCTCCTGAGCTTCCTGCCCGGTGGCGGCGGGCTGCACCTGGCCGCCCAGGGTCGAGCTGCGGGGGTTGGTCGCGCCGTCGGTGCCGCCGGGGCACCGTGCTTCGCGATCTGTCGCCGCAGAGATCTGTGGATCCAATCGGCTAGCCATGGACTTGCAATCGCATGACCGATGTTGGGCGCCCGAATTATCCGGGGTAACTCGGGTCCGGGGTAACTCGGGTTTGGATTCTCAGAAAAGGAACCCGAGTTAGCCCTGACCCGAATTATCCCTGATGATTCGGGGCTCTGGACGCCCGAGTTATCCAGGGTAACTCGGGTCCGGGGTAACTCGGGTTTGGATTCCCGGAAAACGAACCCGAGTTATCCCTGACCCGAGTTACCCCTGATGATTCGGGGCTCTGACGATGGTCGATGCGGCGGTGTTCGCGGCAACAGGGGCTGCGGGCAAACGTGGCCAAGTGATCGTCCAACGTCCCGCCCCGTATCGAAAACAACCCCGGCCACAAGGGGCTGTCGTGGAACGCCTGGGTAATGTCCACATGCGACTGGCGCCAAACAAGGTCCTGTGCGACTGCCACGCAGGAATTATCCAGCATGTGGTTGCGTATTCATGGAACTTGTGCATGCGGCCGTCGGGTCCTGTGAAGGGCTTGCGTCGGCAATAGCCGCGCGTTTGCAACATCCAGGTCCGGTCGTCTTTGTCGCTCTCTGTGGTTCAAGTTGACTTATGGACTGGCCGTATCAGCAGCGCTCGCGCGAATGGTTCAGCCCGACGTGAACCATTCTGAAATCCGCCACCGCACCCGCTGGCACGTGGAGCAGGAATGGGGCGCCGACGCGCAAACAAAGACGTCAACGGAAACCAAGAAATACACCGCGACCGCGTTGTGGCAACCGCAACCGCGCCTGCGACGAGCACGAATGCGATCGCGACAGGGAAGCACAAACCTTCGAGTCCCCCGCAGGCCCCCAGGAGGCCCGAAGCATAGTTCCGAGAGGTCCCCCCCGAGAAGCCTCTCGAAAGATTCAGGATCCCTCCAAACCCGCAGAGCAATCGATCTTACTTGTTCGTTCGTCCTGCATGTTCGCCCCCTCCCCCATGGATCGCCCGCGCACCGAGGCGCCAGAGGCAACGCCGCCGGCGCCACCCAAGGAACTGGGCTGGACCGAACCGAACCGAAACAAGAAATCATAATCAAAAATCGTAACCACTGGGAGGGTAGAGATGGAATCCAGAGACAGCGTACCAGAATTGGGCGGCGCGCCCGGGAAACGAGAAGGGGCGGGCCTTCTCAGAAGGCTCGGAAGTCCCCCAGCCTTCTGAGAAGTTTCTAAGCCTTCCCCGAAGACACAAAAAGACTTCTCAGAAGGTACGAACTTCTGAGAAGTCCCGCCGCCTTCTGAGGTCTTCTCCTTCTCACTTCCCCCCTCGCTCGCCGACGAAATCTGTCCCTCGACTCTCCACAGGACACTGCGGCAATCTGGAGTGCTTCTGCCTTGGAGGGCGGGCGTAGGGCTGTCTGGGAGGGCCGCGCAAACAACTCACGAGGACCATCTTGCATCCAAACACTTTCTGCGGGAGCATCATGGGCATAACGACGCGATCTACGAGGAAGAAGAAAGTAGGATTAGGTCGGGCATGTCCTCCTACAGGCGGACTTGGAGGGAAACTGAACAATATCCCCAAAATATTCCAACGTGGTCAAAAGTATAAGAACAACCGTCCCCAGACTATGCTTGGACTATTTGTTTTGAATATTCCTCCTGTAGTGTGACAGGCCCGACTTTAAAGTAGAATGCGGAAACGCAGTCGTAGGAGATGAGGCAACTTGAGACTGCAAACACTTGGAAGATTATGGCCCAATTGTCGGGGCCAGCCTGGTTGCAATGGCGCCCCCTGCATGGATGAGGGTTCAACGATTCGTCGTTATAGGTGAAGACAGGGGACAACATGTTGTTGGAAAGCGGTAGCGAACCAATAACATGTTGCCGACCATCTTAAGCATGAAGAACATATGCATGGAGACGAGAAAAAGAAAGAGAGAGAGATAGAGAGAGAGAGAGAGAGAGCGAAACACAACACTCACAACAAATTTAGAGGGCAAAAGGGGGGCGGGAGAGAGAGAGAGAGAGGGAGAAAGAGAAGGGGAGAGAGAGAAGCTGCGGGTACTGCGGGGCAAATGAGAAGAATCAGGGGGGAGGGGAGTGAGGGGTATGCCGGCATGGGGCGGATGCGCCACGCGGACCCTGTCACTCGCGCACTGGACGGAGCTCCCTACGGCACAGCGGCAAGTGCGAGAGGTGAGCTGAATCGGGCCTGGGTGCGCCATGCGGACCCTGCCGCCGAGGCCTTGGATAGAGCTCCTGTCGGGGCCACGGCACGTGTGAGGGGGTGTGCTGAATCGGATGCGGGGTGGGCCATGCGGACCCTGCCGCTGGAGATTTCGGTGGATCTCCCTACGGGGCCACGAAAGGTGTGAATGGTGTGCTGAATCGGGTGCGGGTGCACCGTGTGGACCCTGCCGCTGGGGTCTTCGGTGGGGCTCCCGTCGGGGCCACGAAACGTTTGAGGGGCGTGCTGAATCGGATGCGGGCACGCCATGTGGACCCTACCAGTGGGGCCTTCGGTGGGACTCCATATGTGGCTACGAAACGTGTGACAGGTGTACCGGTCGGGTGCGGTTGCGCCATGCGGACACTGCCGCGGGGGCCTGCGGTGGAGCTCCTCATGGGGCCGCGAAATATGTGAGGGGTGTGCTGAGCTGGATGCAGGGAGGCCGTGCGGACCCTGCCGCTAGGGCCTTGGGTGGAGCTCCCTATGGGGCCACGAAGCGCGTAAGGGCTGTGCCGAATCGGGTGCGGGTGCGCTATGCGGACCCCGCCGCTGAGGCCTTAGGTGGAGGTCCGTATGGGGCCACAAAGGGTGTGAATGGTGTCCTGAGTCGAATGCGGGTGCGCCACGCGGACCGTTTTGGCCTCAACGACTCACCACACGAGTACCTCACCTGCCATTAGTGGGCGAATGGCAGGAGTCAAAGGAAAGCACCTGCAGGCACCCCTGCAGATGTAAAAGCAGCACAGACCACGCGGACCTTGCCACTGGGGCCTCCAATGGAGCCCCCCCATGGGGCTACGAAGCGTGTGAGGGCTGCGCCGAATCCGGTGCGGGTACGCCATGCGGACCCTACCGCTGGGGCCTTCGGTGGGACTCACTATGGGGGCCACGAAATGTGTGTGAGGTTTGTGCCGGATCGGATGCGGGTACGCCATGAGGACCCTGCCGCTGGGGCCTGCGGTGAAACTCCCTTTGGGGCCACGAAGTGTGTGAAGAGAGTGAGGGGTCGGGTGGGGGTGTGCTATGCGGACCCCACCGCTGGGGCTTGCGGTGGAGCCTCCTTTATGGGGCCACGAAACGTGTGAGGGGTGTGCCGAATCGGGTGCGGGTACGCCATGCGGACCCTGCCGCTGGGACCTTCGGTGGAGCTTCATATGGGGCCGCGAAACGTGTGAGGGGTATGAAGAGTCGGGCGCGGGTACGCATGATGGTGATGAGAAGAGGGCATATGCAGGGCAGAAGCATGGATGGGAGGAGAGATGAGGGGGAGGAGGAGGAGAGGAGAGGAGATGAGAGACGGACGCGGGGCGCTGTCCCTGCAAAAGGAAGACCCAACACCCTTGGATTGTGAGTAATAAAAAAGAGAGTGAGAGAGAACACACAACACGAAACAATAGAGAAAGAGAGAGAGAGATACAGGGATACGGAGAGGGACAGAGCGGGAGAGAAGATATGGCAAGAAGAACACAGGAGGTCAAGGGAAAATATGCGGAAGTGGACGGGGAAATAATGACGGGAAGCGGTGGTGAAGACGTGAGGGGGGGATGAGGGACACGGGGGAACGAAGGGCGCAGGCCAATCTCTACGGCGGCGTCACCTTCACCATGTTGCCATCCTGCGTCAAGTATGGGTTGGTCTTGGGCCAACCCAACACCTCCCGACCCTCCACTTCCCACCACCGCACTCCGTCTCTCCATTTCCTGCCCCCACCGCCGATGTCGCCAGGCTGGTCCCCCCCAACCCTCCCCGCACATCACACCACAACATCACATGCGCCCGAGATACAAAGGCAGAGAGAAAGAGAGAGAATAACAAACGTACGACATAAAACGCACACCCATATGAATGTTTGTACATGCGCGAAAACAACTCAACACACTACCCTGGCGAAGGACCCAACCATATGCAGATGTGAGTAGCGTCCCAATGAGTATCGTCTTCGGTGGATCTCCTCATGAGGCCACGAAGCGTGCGAAGGGTGTGCCGAGATGGGGCGGGGCCGCCATGCGTGTGAAAGGTGTGCCGAAGTAAAGCGGCAATGCCATGCGAACCCTCCCACTGGGGCCTTAGGTGGAGCTCCCTATGGGTCCCCGAACCGTGGGAGGGGTGTACCGAAAGGGGGCGGCGGTGCCATGCGAACTCTCCCACTGGGGCCTACGTTGGAGCTCCTGATGGGGTCACCTAACGTGCCAGGGGAGTGCCGACAGGGGGCCGCGGCGCTATGCGAACCCTACCACTGGGGCCACAGTCGGAGGTCTCGATGGGGCCGCAAAGCGCGTGAGGAGCGTGCCCAAATAGGGTGGCGGTGCCATGCGAACTCTCCCACAGGGGCCTTCGGTGTAACTTCCCATGGCGCCCCGAAACGTGTGATTTGTGTGCCGAAACGGGGCGGTGATGCCATGCGAACCCTCCCAGTAAGGCCTTAGGTGGACCTCCTCATGAGGCCTTGACGCGTGCGAGGGGAGTGCCCCAATGGGGAGGCTGTACCCTGCGAACCCTCCCACTGGGACCTGCGGTGGAGCTCCCTATGGGGCCACGAAGCGTGTGAGGGGTGTGCCGAAATGGGCCAGTGGTGCCATGTGTCAACCCTCCCACTGATGCCTTAGATGAAGGTCCCTATGGGGCCACGAAACGTTTGAGGGGTGCGCCGAAATGTAGCGGTGGTGCCATGCGAACCTTCCCACCGGTGGTGCCATGCGAACCCTCCCACTGAAGCCTTCAGTGGAGCTCCCCTATGGGGCCGCGATGCGTATGAGGGGTGTGCCGAACCACAGGCATGCGGAGGGCAGAGGCAAGGAGGGGGAGGAGGAGAGAAGGAGTGACGGGCGGCGCTGTATCTTCAAAACGAAGACCCAACACCACAAAATGGTTGGGAACAAATGCCGTGGCGAAAGACCCAAACATGCGCATTTGTGAATGCCGTCGCTGTGGGCATCGCCTTCGGTGGATCTCTTTCTTGGGTCGCAATGCAGGCGCTGCCACTGGGGCCTGCAACGGAGCTCCTCAACGAGCACGACACGTGTGAGGGGTGTCCCTGATTGGGTGCTGATACGCCATGCGGACTGTGCCGCTGGGGCTTTCGGTGGAGCCCCTTATGGGGCCAGGAAATGTGTGAAGAATGTGCGGAATCGTGTGCTGGTGGTAGTGCTGGTGGTTATGCTGGTCGTTGTGCTGCGGCGTTGCTGGTGATTGTGCTGTTGAAGTGTGCTGATGGCTGCGCTGCTGGATGTTGCGGTCGTAGTTGTGCTTGTTGTGGTTGTGCTTATAATTGCGCTGGGGGTTGTGCTGGTGGTTGCGCTGGTGGTAAAGATGGTGGTTGTGCTGGTGGTGGTGCTGGTGGTTGCGTTGGTGGTTGTGCCAGTGTTTGTCCTGGTGGTGATGCTGGTTGTGGAGGTGCTGGTGGTGGTTTCGCTTGTGGTTGTGCTGGAGGTTGTGCTGGTGGTTTTGTGCTGGTGATTGTGCAGGTGGTTGTGCTCGTGTTTGTGATTGTGCTGGTGCTGGTGGTTCTGCTGGTGGTCGTGCGTATGGTTCTGCTGGCGGTGGTTGTGCTGGTGGTTGTGCTGATGGTTGTCCTGCTGGTGGTTGTGCCATCGGTTATGCTGGTGGTTTTGCTTGTGGTTGTGCTAGTGGTGGTGTGTGTGCTTGTTGTGCTGGTGATTGTGCTGGTGTTTGTGCTGGTGATTGTGCTGGTTGTGGCTGTGCTGATGGTGGTTGTGCCGCTGATAGTTTTGCTGGCGGTAGTGATGGTGGTTGTGCTGGTGCAGAACTACCAGCACAACCACCACAAGCACAAGCACCAGCACAACTGACAGCACACGCGCTCGCGCAACCACCAGCACAACAACCACCACACAATCATGGACATCACATTTTCTAAAGTAGGCTGCTGCTTATCATTTGAGCGATTCCCCGAGGGCATGGACTAAAACAATGAAGATGTTTTGAATATGTTAACCGGTGTGGGCCCTAAAGCAGTGTGTGTTCGAGCAGTCTGTGGTGTGCAATCTATAGTGTGCAATATATGTGGTGCGATTTATGCTGTGCAATATGGTGCAATGTAGTGCATTATAGTTGTGCAATCTAGGTTGTGCAATGTGGTGCAATAGTAACTGCGCACTGTACGTAAAGCAATATGTGTGGCGAGCGGTCAAAAAAGCGCCGCAAACGCGACACAAGCATATCGTTAAACCCATGTGCTGCAAGTGGGGGCACTCTGTGTGGTGTAATCTGTGTGGTGAAATCCGTGGGTTGGAAACTATTTGTTGCCACCTTGCTGTGCAATGTGTGTTGTGCCATCTTCGTGGTTGTGCAATAGCTGTTGTGCACGTTATGTGTTGCAACCGATTGTGTGCAGTTTAGATGGTGCAATATAGGTGGTAGTGCATTCGATGCGTGTAACCTATGTGGTGCGATCTATGTTGTGCAATTAATTCCTGTTCGCAATGAGTTGTCGACTCCACTGCTCGCGCAAACATCCCACCCACCCACCCGCAACTTGGTTTGCAAAATCTCTTAAGACCGTGACGGTGGGTACCACATGGCACTTGGCAACAACAGCGACGCCGACGACGACAGCGACAACGACGATGACGACGCCGCCGACAACGACTACGACGACACCGACGACGTCTCCAACGACTTCGACGACGCCGACGACGACGACGACGACGACGACACGACGACGACGACGACGACGACACCGACGCCGACGACGATGACGATGACAACGACGACGACGATGACGACGCCGACGACGACGATAACGACGACACGACGACGACGACGACGTCAACGACGCCGACGACGACGACGACGACGACGACGGCGGCGACGACGACGACGCCGACGTCGACGACGACGAAGACGACAACGACGCCGACGCCGACGACGACGACGAAGACGACGACGACGTCGCCAACGAAGACAACGAGGAAGGAGGGAGGACGACGACGGCGACAACGACGACAACGACGACAACGACGAGGGAGGAGGGAGGACGGCGACGACGCGAACGACGAAGAAGGAGGAAGGACGGCGACGCCGACGACGGCAACGACGAGGGAGGAGGGAAGACGACGACGACGACAACGACGACGACGACGACGACGGCGACGAAATAGGAGGGACGACGACGAGACGCCGACGACGGACGACGACGACGACGAGGGAGGAGGAGGAAGGACGACCACGGCGACAACGACGACGGAAACGACCACGACGCCAAAGAGGACGACGACGACGAACACGAGGAACGACAGAGGACGACGTAGGCGACGACGACGACGACAACGACGCGGGAGGAGAGAGGGCGGCGACGACGACGACGACGACGACGCAACAGCGCGCGCGCGCACGCTTGTGTTGAAAATCCGTGTTGCGAAACCTTATGTTTTTGTAGGTTTTTCGGACACACGATTTTGACATCCTTCCGAAACCGATGGGTTTTGAAGGTTTTCGGCATACGCGCGCGACGACGCGCGCGTCTGCACTTCGTCCCATTTTTTCCAAGGGATTCTCGCGACGGCACACGCGCAAGGGCGTTCGACAGATTTTGACATGAGCGCGCGCGAAGCCCGTTTGGTAGCCTGTTGTGAAAATCTTGAAAAACCTATGGTTTTCTTGAGATTTCGCAAGAGCTTTCGCGGAAGCTTTTTTAGCAACTCTGTGTTGCGAAACCCTGTTTTTTTGTATGTTTTTTGGAAACTCGATTGCGAAATCCTTCCCGCACCAAAGGTTTTTGAAGGATTTCGCATGCGCGCGACGACGCGCGCGTGTGCACTTCGTCTCATGTTTTGCAAGGGATTCGTGAACAAGTTTTATGTTAGAACAAAAGATGTCCCCGCGTATGGTTTTTTACCAGGGAACCTCAGGGGGAGCGATCCCGGCCCCCCTGGGATAGTGTAAATTCATATTTCGGATGGACATGTGGTCAGAATCATGTATGATTTACATACCCGGATCGGGGATCTTCTGACCCGGGTCAATCCAGACCCGGGTCAGCAGGAAACCAAACAACTGCAATGCAGGAACAAAAAAACTGCAACGCAGGTCTTCGCAAACCCGGGTCAGCCAATATGTGCGGCCGCCTCGCGGCCACGAGCGGCTCCCTGACCCGGGTCAGCCAGAGGGGGCCTTCGCAGGATCCTGCAGGATCCGGCGCCCTGGCTGACCCCCGTCTGCATTGACCCCCGTCTCAAAGCTCCCGACCGAAAGGGGGGCGGATAACTCCGGGGGGGGGGGGGGTAACCCCAGGAAGCATTTAAGAACCCCCCCCCCTCCGGCAAATCGATAACCCTTCCGCACCATCATCCATATCCGCATCATCATCATCATCATCATCATCATCATCATCATCATCATCATCATCATCATCATCATCATCATCATCATCATCATCATCATCATCATCTTCATCATCATCATCATCATCATCATCATCATCATCATCATCATCATCATCATCATCATCATCATCATCATCGTGTCCGGGTGCTACAGCGATCGTTCGGTTATTTCGGCCCTTCGGAATATCGAATAAAACATGCGGTGCTACGATATCGCCGGGGGGGTTCTCAAATGCTTCCTGGGGTTATTCTTTTTTTGGAAAGGAGAATGCACGCGTGGTGCAAGCTCACGGCGGCAGCGGGCGGCGAC